GCAATTGTTTTGGGCCTGGTTGTTAATGCTTTGTAGAAACTGCCCCACTTGGTACCATTTTGCAAATCACTGTAATCTTCATCAAAGACAGGCGCCTGACATTGGTAGTTGACATGTGACAAGTCGCATTGTCTTTACTCTTGCCTCCTCATGGAGACCACAATCACCCACTTTACCCTTGTTGCACAAGATTTCATTGCCCTCCCATTTGTGGGCCCCACATCACAATGTGATGCCAATGAGCCGACTCATCCAAGCACTCGTCGCCATGCAATTGAGATGCTCCTCCCTCAAGTGGTCTTTTCATTCTTGCGCCATGTTTTCCCATCATTGACCACGTGCATTGTGCTCTCGAAGACTCGTAAAGTGGGGGAATACGAGAGGGGTAGTTTGAAGGTGGCAGGCACTCCGTCTGATTGCGATGAGTTGAGGATGTTGACTTGTTTAGGGGGAATTGAAAGTGGTTTGAAACGCGGGCATTGACATGTGTATGGTCGTCACCGCATCTGCTCGAGATGATGCCTCACCTCAACTTTCACTGCCACCATTCATTGGTAGTCACCTCTCGTTCCAAACCAACTAACTTCGAACAGAAGAATTTCTTAGGTGTGAGGAGCATGGTGCATGGAGAATGCACCATGCTTTGTCTGCCCTCTTGCCTGACACCCGCATGACCCTGCATGCAGAAGAGTATTTGTTGCAGGCAGTTGTGTGGCTCTTGGATGATCGCTGGGTGTAGGAAGTAAGGAGGTGGGTGGAAATTGAGAAGCAAATCAACCAATTGTGTGGGTGTGTAGATGGGTGGATGGTGTTGGTGTTTGGAGTGCGCGTTTGTGTGTGCTATGCACGTAGATTGCGTTATGAGTCGATTGCTTAGTAATGCAGGCCACCATAGGCATGGAAGTGTTATTGATTCACGTGTCGTTCTGTGGCAGGAAGTAGCCGAATAGCGAATGCGCTCTTGAAGACGTGCTGGGATCGCCTCACTCGACACTGCTCTATTTAGTGGAAGAAAAAATGATGTAGCAGTCTCATTTCGGTCTTGAATGGAATGCTTTGTGCTTTCAATTTCACGAAATCACTAGCCGCTTCTCAGATATTTCCCATTTGATTCTTAAGAAGGAGTGGGGAGAGTGCTGCCCGAATGACATCAACTGCAACTCTCCATCCAAGCCACCTGTGCGAAACAGTTTGTCTACGCTTGCCTCAACACGGCCAGATCACCCAATCAATTGGTCCTCCCATCCAACATTCAGACTGTGTGCAGTGAAAGCATCACCGCCTTGTGGCACGTGAGTGCAGGAAAGTACGATGCCTGCTATCTGCCACAAATGAGTAATTGGTGGATTATAACGCAGGTGATGGCATTGCTAGGATCTCATGCTATGCGTGGCGCGAGAAGTGTTTCGTGTGGATTCAACCTGTGTGGGTGGTGATTGGAGGTAGACTGGGGATGGTCTGGCCACTGTCAACTGCACACTGGAGGATGGTATTCACAAAAGTCGACTGACATTGAACTCCATACAGCATCCACCTTCCCACTCCTTTCCACCACTTTGTCCACTGAACACCGATTTCGTGTGTGTGGTGCTATTCTCATCCTCTTGCCAAACGCTGACCACTTATATATATGGCGATTGGCAACTTGTGGCTGCCAAACCTGTCCGTCTTACTGATGTTAATTTCAGTAGCACATAAAGCTGCGGATGCAACTAACCTCACAGTAAGTATTTGCAGATGTACGACCACCGACTACAAACCAATCCGTATTCGGGGCTGTGAAGTGGTGACATTTCAGGGAATGTCAATGATGTGATGGAAATGATTGTGCATTGTTGGTTTTGCAGCGCTTATTATGATAAGTTGAGGGAAAGCATTCCTGTGATCGCCCCCACATTTAGAAGCAGAGTGATTGACTAAATGCTAGCTGGCATGATGGAATGTGCCACCTTTCATGCATTGGAAGCGTCGAATAATAGGAAGAGAAGATGTGTAGTACTGATAATTGAGCCAATGAAACTTGACACTTTGTAATGCAACAAATGCATTGTTGCCTTCAATGGGGTGCGCGAGTTGATGCAGTTGATGAAGGGCCGCGAAAGAACACGATAAATGGAAGGCAATGACCGAGGGAGACTCGGTCAAGCACCAATGAAGAAAGGTTCAATTACTGCTCAATAAAGACGCATTGTCTTTAGCATAAATGGCAAAAGGTGAGTGGATGTGTGTAAGAGTTTGATTTAAGCGCAGAATGAGAGGCTGAAGGGAGTGGGAGCAGGACCGTTTTCTGCGAAGTTGGCGAAGAGCAGTTGTGATGACAGCCAGCCCGTGAGTGGTGAGTGAAAGATGTTACAAGTCGGACTGAGAGGGCGCTCAGTGTCTGATTTTATTTCAGTGCATTCTGTCATCAAACCTCACGTCACACAAGCATTCATTGCCGAGGTTCTGCTGAACGACAGTCAATAAGGTTTCATGGGGTAGGAGAAAACACCAGACAAAATAGAACTGGTAAGCTGAAGGATCGACGGTTGGTCCACAGAAGGAAATCAGTCAAATCCGAGTCGTTGAGCTTCAAAGTGAACAGGTAAATATGCGTGCTGATTGTCTTGATCGGCGCTCTTCAATCGCAGAGTGAACCTTCTCCTCTCAATGGAGAATGTTTTTACGGTTAAAGCAGCGCTGCTGCGTTAAATGGTTTTGAGTATGATTAGATCATGCGTGATGGCACGTGCTCAGCCCAGACCGTGCATGAGTGGGAGAAAGTCATCTTTAGGAGCACCTGCAATACTGTTGTGCAAACCAAATGACGCGTCGCGCAGATCG